CAACGTCCTCCACGTTTCCACTTCAACTAGTTCTGGAGCAACTATTACATACGTGCTCAGGCAGCTCGAGCTGAAGATCCAGAGCAGTTCGGTCAGGACTCGGATGCCAAGGAGGACTCGATCCACAAAGCTATAGAGCACAATTGCGGCATGGCACATCGCAATTCAGCACGGCAAAGCATAGCACAGCCCTTGGCACGGTACATCAAGATCGATACATTCAGCATTGCAATTGCCCGTCGCCCGATCAGATATCTTGAACATGTGGTCATGCTTCACCTTTCTATATTACTTTCCGGGTTCGTGGGTCGATCATACTGTTGGCCCAGGGGGAGGGGGAAATGAGGGAGGGGAAAAGGGGGATGGGGGACAACCAATCATCTCACACGCTTTCTCACCTTGGCAAGCGGGGGTCGGCGGATTCGTCGTGACATTTTCCAGCATTTACACGGACGGAGGGTGTCCCCTTTTCAACATGAGGTTTCGGCTTGAAGTGGTCTGCGGCGTTCTGATGATACATTCAATGTCGTGCAGCATATGCACGGGTGGTTTGCGGCACCTCTTAAACTCTGGTCATTCGTTCGATGTGTTTTTTGTTTTTATTGGGCTTTAGACCAGGCGTGTAATTCGGCACAATGTGTGGTATGATGGCGTTTCTTTACACGCAAACAGGGTTCTCGCTGGACACTTCTGCGAATCGCATGATCTCGATTACCTCGTCGCCGACGTGTGGCAAGAAACACTGGTGGCTACCGCTTCTCAGCACGGGACTCCCACCAGCACTGCAGGCGCACGGGGCGCTCGTCTCTCAAGGGGGCGCCCCCTGCAGCGAGAAGGACCTGCTTTTGAGTCGGGCCTGTCCCTCTACAGGGGGAATATTCAAAGATAGTATCAGCAAATAGTCTGGGTACGATTTTTCTAGTATTTTTGATGATCATTTGGGGGGTATGGTTTGAGTTTTTTTCCGGTCACAATCCCCCCCGCAAGGGGGCACGCCCGACCTAAACCTGCTTCATCGCATCGCTCCCTCCGCCGGCCCAGTCCGCACCACGGTGGCTGCGTGGCGGTGTGCTCGTGCCCATGGGGAATCGGCGAGGCAGGCAGGATTGAAGGGGCGTGGATTCGCGACGTGTCCTGTTTCCATGGGGAATCGCGGATTTCCGCCGCCGAGCGAGGCGGCACCGGCCGCATTTTGGGGAGGGCGCCTCCCCCGATCCATGGATTTGGCGACCGCGCGCCAAGTCCATGGATCGCTAGTCCATGTTTGCGCGCCCCCGACTCGAGGAGATCTCTGGAGACGTGGCTCGCACCCTACAGGAGAGGGCCGGTAGACGGCCCCAGGTGGCGCCAAGAGGGCCGAAGAGAGTTCTGGCAGAGTTTCGAGAGGTACCCGGGTCAAAGGGTCAGAGTCCTCACGGACGCTTCTTGGGGTCTCTTCGGAGGGCTCTCGGGAGCCTCCGGGGAGCAGTTTTGAGGCCTCTGGGGGGCTCTCGGGGGCTTCTTGGGGGCCTCCTGGGGCTTCCTGGGGGCCTGAGCCTCTATTGGGGCCTCTTGGGGGCCTGTTGAGGGCTCTCGGGGGGCTCTCGGGGGGCTCTTGGGGGCCTCTGGGGGCTTCCTGGGCGCCTCTTGGGGCCGAGAGTTTGAGATGTCTGCTCGGGTTCCCTCCCTGGGCCCCCTCTTGGGGCAATCCTGGCGCCATCATGGGGCTATCTTGGAGGCCTCTTGGGCCGTCATTAGGGCCATCTTGGGCTATTTTGGGCGATCTTGGGGCCTCTTGGGCCGTCCAGGGCGGTCGGTCGGCAGCTCGAAAAGGCGGTACCGCCCCAATCGTTTGAACACCCAAGCAAAATCCATGTTTTTGGGGTTTGCGCGGCCTCTCGAAGTCCTCTTGGAACCTTCCTGGAGCGTCTTGGGCGCTTCTTCGGCCGTAGTGGGACCAACGTGGGCCGTCTTGGAACGCTGATGCCGTGGGGCGTGCCACCCTTTCGGCGCCTCATTGGGGCGCTCGGGGGGGCCCGAACATCGCCCAGGAGTTCCAGCATGTCTGACTAGACCTTGCCGGGATCTTGCCCGGCCTGTCTGGGACCTTGCGGGGACCTTGCAAGGGTACTTCTCGTCCGCGCTTCCCCAGGGGCCGCCACGCGCGCGCGAATTATATAAACATTATTGAATTCTTACCGGAGATTTTAGGACGCCTTTGGCCCGTTGGGCCGGCGAATTGACGCTTCGCGTGCCCCCGGCAGCCCATTCAGAAACGACGCCCAGATGCGCTGTCTAGGGGAGGGGCGTATGTACGCATGGGGCCATTTTGGAAGCCTTTTGGGGTCCCTGGGGCCCTGTAACATTGTATCTTGGGGCCCTCTTGGGACGCTTTTGGGGCGCACTTGGTCGCTCTTGGGCGCGCTTTGGGCCGCCTTTGAGCTTTCAAAGCCGGCTGTAAGAGAAAGGGCGAGACGGCGAGTATTGGCCTCTACGGGGCTTCCTTGGGAGACTCCGTGGCCACTTGGAGCCGTCTTGGGGCGGTCCTGGTGCCTCTTGGAGGCATGTTGGACGCTACCATTAGCCATATTGGACTATCTTGTGCAGTATTGGAGCCGTATCGGGCCATCTCGGACGCTTCAACGCGTCGCGACCCCCCTTCATACCCAGGGAGAGGGGGCCCAGGATAGGTACACCTCTCCCTGAAGGAGAATCATGGCGCTAAATGGCCTACACCCTGAGGGCTTGTGGGATTTGAGTAGGGGCTTCTGTTTAGGGGACTTCGGACGGGGAGGCGTGTGTCAGCATCGTTGATTCATCTTGGCTTTACATACTCTGGTCCACCTCTCCCCCCCTCTTGATTCCTGATTCCTGATTCATGACGGCCTGAAGGTTCGTCGAGCGCTGCCTCTTCCCTCCTCCTCCTCCTCCTCCTCCTCCTCCTTCTGCTCCTCCTTCTCCTCCCTCCTCCTCCTCCTCCTCCTCCTCCTCCTCCTCCTCCTCCTCCCTCGTCGTCGTCGTCCGCCGCCTCCTCCTCCTTCTCCTCTCTCCTCCATCCTCCTCCTCCTCCTCCTCCTCCTCCTCCTCCTCCTCCTCCTCCTCCCTCGTCTTCCTCCTCCCCCCTTCTTCCTCCTCCTCCTCCTCCCTCCCTCCCGCCCTCCCGCCCTCCCTCGCTCCCTCCCTCCCTCCCTTCCCCACATCCCTCCTGCCTCCCGCGAGGGAGGCGCCGGGAGGGCGCCGCCGAGAGGTCCTGACCGGCTGGCCCTGCCTCCCTCCTCCTCCTCCTCCTCTCCTCCTCCTCCTCCTCCTCCTCCTCTTCCTCCTCCTCTCCCCTCTCCTCCTCCTCCCTCTCCTCCTCCTCCCTCGTCGTCCTCCTCCTCCTCCTCCTCCTTCCTCCTCCTCCTCCTCCTCCTCCTCCTCCCCTCCTCCTCCTCCTCCTCCTCCTCCTCCTCCTCCTCCTTCTCCTCTCTCCTCCTTCTTCTCCTCCTGGACCGTTGCTGGAGCCGAGAACTCAATGGCGGAGGCTGGTGCCGGAGCCAAGGCCGAGGCTGGAGCCTGTGGGGGGTCTTCTCCAATTCGATTCGATTCGGCTCGATTTCGATGGTCTCCGATTCGGATTCGATTCGACTTCGGATTCCGATTTGGCTTCGATTTCTGAATTGAGGCCAGCCTGCGGATTTCCCCCAACCCACCTCTTCCTCCCTCTACCATTTCACACGATGCATGCTTCGGCGGCGCGCGAGGGGGCGAAGTGAGGAGGAGAAGGCCTTCTCGGCAGGCGGCGGGGCTTCTCGGAAGGCCTGGGCTCCTGTGCTTTCGGGGCAGGCTCAGACAACTTCTCCAGAAGGCCGGGGGACGTCCGAGGCCTCCGAGAGGGCCCGCCCCTTCTCACTTCCCCCCCCCCCCTCGCTCGCCGCCGAGTGCCATTCCCCTTAGGAGGAGGAGGAGGCGGAGGAGGAGGAGGAGGAGGAGGAGGAGGAGGAGGAGGAGGTAGGAGGAGGAGGAGGGAGGAGGAGGAGGAGGAGGAGGAGGAGGAGGAGGAGGAGGAGGAGGGAGGAGGAGGAGGAGGAGGAGGAGGAGGAGGGACGATCCTCCGGACGCCAGCGAGCTGGTGTTCTGTGCGTGCCCCTCCGCTCGGGGCGCCCGCGGCCGCTCCGAGGGGGGGCGCGCTCGCTTCAGCGCCCGCCGCACTCCTGCCCCCTTCTACCAGTGCTCAGTACCAAGACCCCTCCTCCTCCCCTCCTCCTCCTCCTCCTCCTCCTCCTTCCTCCTCCTCCTTCCTCCTCTCTCCTCCCCTCCTCCTCCTCCTCCCCCCTCCTCCTCCTCCTCCCTCCTCCTCCTCCTCCCCCTCCCTCCTCCCTCCTCCTCCTCTCCTCCTCCTCCTCCTCCTCCTCCTCCGCCTCCTCCTCCCCCTCCCCCTCCTCCCCCGCGGAGCGGCGCGGTAACCAACAGCTCCCGACCGTAAGCAGCGGCGCGATCTGCACGGCGAGGAGGTGGCGGCGGCGCCTCCGCTGCGAGGCGGGCAGGAGCCCCGGCGCGCGGCCCGGCGCCCAGTACCAATACCACTCTCCGCTCACCCCCGAGTCTGTGCGGAAGATGCTCCGCCCCCTCCGCGGGTGCCTCTGCGGGTGCTATAGGCGTCCGCCGGTGCCCGCCGCCGTTCGTTGTTTGTGGCCGCCCGGTATCCTCTCTGCCTGGACCTCGCGCCCTGTCAGGACGCGCGCGTGGCCAACCTAAAGTCGTAGAATCCCAGACGCCTCCATCAGTTCCAGTCAACCCGCATTGTCAGGATGAACGACTTTCCAAGGTTACCCTTGCACCATTCCCCTTCGGCCCATCCTTGCCCGCTTTCGCTGGCCGCGCCCCGCTCGCAGAGTGTCGACATGGCCTTCCACGGCCCTTGCATCCTTACCGTGCGTCCTCATTATACGGGTGACGATCGCTCAAGACTTCTGACGACGACGGTCGGCGACGACGATCGGGCATCGACGGTGGGCCGCTCCGGGCCGGGCGTGCCCGCGAGGCGGAGCTGGTGGCGGACTACAACGGCAAGGTCGCCGCGTGGCAGGTCGGCCGGAGCGTCGAGGCCGAGGGCGGGGGGGTTGGGAGGATGCCCGTTCTGTGCTGTCGGTCTGCTATGTGTTGCACCCCCAGGAGGGCTGGGGGGATCGAGGGATGGAGGATCGGGGGATGGGGATGGGAGGAGGAGGAGGAGGAGGAGGAGGAGGAGGAGGAGGAGGTTGGAAGGGGTGAGTTTGATAGTGGTGGTAATGGTGATGCTGCTGCTGTTGATGATGATGGATCTCATTCTCATGCTCATGCTCATGATCATGATCATGATGATGACGACAACGGCAACGACAACGGCAACGACTACGACGCCGCCGACGACGGTTATGATGATGATGAGGAGGATACTGATGACAATGTTGCTGCTGCTGATGATGATAAGATGACGATGGCGATGATGGTGATGGTGATGGTGGTGATGGTGATGATAATGGTAATGATGCTGCTGCTGCTGATGATGATGATCATGATGGTGATGGTGATGGTGATGATGATGAAGAAGAAACATAGGATGATGAAGAAAATGGTGTTGATGGCGTGAATTATGGTGGCTGACATGATGATGATGAGGATGGGCCATGATGGTAGTGATGTTGCTGTTGTTGGTCTTGGCGACGATGATGATGCTGATGGCGGTGATGCTATTGTTGTTGATGATGATGATTATGATGGTGATGGGCATGATGACGACGATGATGATGACGATGATGGTGATGGTGATTCTGATGATGATGATGGCGATGCTGATGATGCTGATGCTGATGCTGCTGCTGCTTCTGATGATGCTGGTTATGATGGTGATGATGATGGTGTTGATGGCATGGGTCCTCGTGGCGGTGATGATGAGGAGGATGAGCCATGATGATGGTGCTGGTGTTGTTGTTGGTCATTGCGACGACGATGATGCTGGTGGCGGTGATGATGTTGATGATGCTGATTCTGATTATGATGATGATGGATATGATGGTGATGCTGATGACGACGACGATGGAGCTGCTGCTGATAATGATGTGATGCTGAGACTTATGATGGTGACGGGCGGTGATGACGATGATGTTGATGATCATGCTGAGGATGAGGACGATGCTGCTGTGGCTGATGATGATGCTGAGGATCACGATGATGACCATGCTCAAGCTGCTCATGTTGCAGATGATGATAATGATGATGATGATCATGATGATGATGTCCATGATGCTGCTGCTGGTGGTGATGATGATGATGATGATGATGATGATGATGATGTCAATGATGATGACGATTCTGATGCCGACCCTGATGATGCTGCTGCTGCTGATGATGATGACGCCGGCGATTCCGATGACGATGATGCTGCTGATGATGCTGCTGCTGCTGATGGTGATGCTGTTGATGATGTTAATGTCGATGTTGCGGCTGATGCTGATGATGCTGATACTGATGCGGATGCTGATGATGAGGGTGATGAAGAATATCATGATGCTGATTGTGTCGCTGATGATGAGAATGATGATTCTACTTGTAATGATGGTGCTACTGATAGTGATGATTATTAGTGTACTCATTGTTGCCATGATGCTGCTGATGACAATGGTTTTGATGATCTTGATGATGACGATGCTGCTGATGCTGATTCGGATGATGATGCTGATTCTGATGATGCTGATAATGCTGATGATGCTGGTGCGGCCGATGCTGAAGATGCTGACCATAATCAAGCTGCTCATGACGATGCTGCTGCTGTTGCGAATACTGATGATGATGATGTTGCTGACGATGGTAATGATGGTGTTAACGATGGTGGTGATGCTGCTGAGGCTAATTTTGCTGATATTGATGATGATTGTAGTGGTGGTGTTGGTGATGATGCTGCTGCTTTATGACGATCATGATGATGATGCTGATGATGATGATGACTATGATGATGATTATGATGATTTGGATTATGCTGATGATGCTGGTGAAGAGGAGGCGGAGAAGGATGAGGAGGATGATAATGATGATGCTGATGCTGATGCTGATGCTGATGATGCCGATGATGCTGATGATGATGCTGATGATGATGAGGATAACGCCAGGGCGCACCTGCTTGGCTCGCCTTTCAGCGTCCTGCTGTTCTCTTGTCAGGCATGTCTGCTGAGGGCTTCATCGACTTCGCTTGGCTTTCTGACCAGTAAGCTAAATATTTTGAGGCGACCGTCTCTCGAACAAGAACTTCACAGTGGAGGTCTTTGGTCAAAACAGCAGTTGCTAACGGCGGAGGGCAAGCTCACAGGTATACTACATGCCAGTAGGATGCATGTGCGTCGAGGGGATTCCCCGCCAGGCCCCGCTGAGCAGTTGGAAGGGTACCTTCGTGATTGAGAGGAGAATTTGAAACAAGAGGCTCCTGATCCTGATCCGGAGGTTTGTATGATGGAGATCTCGAAGTACCTGGAGGCCCAGGAGTGCCCAGAATGTGCTTCGAGCCCTGGGGGATTCGGGATGCGAGTCGGAAGTTCAAGGCCTGGACCGCTCAGGGAGTCGATCGTCTGGGGCCCAGTGACTTCGTTGTGGTCTCGGACCAGTGTCCGGAATGGTTGTGTCTCCACTGGGATTGGATCCTGCGAAATGGTCTCCTACCTGTCCAGATTGCTGTCACCATGATGCCGTCCTTGCCCACGCCAGGGGGCGGCACCAGGCTCATAGGCCTCATCAGCATGATTTTATGCATTTTGGGGAAGTGTTCTCGAGCAGTTGCAGCGAGTTGGGAGGCTACATCTGGTCGGCAGTATGTGCATGGGGCCAAGGAGCGGTCCTGTGACAGGGCCGTCTGGGGGCACGTCTTTGCGACTAAACACGCGATTTCCAGAAACTCTTCGGCGGCCAGCAGTTTCTTGGACCTTACCACAGGTTTCTCATCCCAAGCTCACTGCAGCAGCTAGGAGGCTGGATTACCCGATGTTTCATCTTTCGAGTGTGCCTGCAGGTGTACAGAATTCCCATGTGTTCACTTCTGGGGCGGAGACCATCCAGGTGCGTTCGGATACCCTCCACGATCACCGCGAGCTGCTGGGATGCGACCTTGCGCTTGAGGGTCCTGGTGCTGGAGGTGGTGGGCGATTGTGCCCGTCGTTTCCCGCCTTCGATGACTCGGTTTCAACGTGGTGGACGACATCACCGCGCAGGTGGTGGGCATTCTCAGCAGAAGGTCCGCCAGCTCACGGTCGCTGCCGCCCGAGCTCCGTGTCGGGGGCCCGAGGCCAAGAAGTGAATCACCTCTCAGTCGGAGGGTGAAGTCACGACCACGTCGGGAGAGCTAGCGAAGGATACCTTGCTGGGGCTCCAGCAGTGGAACTTCAGGAGTGGGCACAACGGCACACTTCAGGACTATGCACAGCGCAGGACAGTCGGTGGGAAGGCGTCGTTGCAGAGATAACGCGTTCACGCAGTTCGTGCTCGGGCAGGCAGGTTCAGGTCCCTCAAGTCCCAGTTCCGCAAGCTCACCTTGGTCGCTAGGGTTGGGGCCGTACCAGTGAGAGCGTATGGGACAAGTATCTTGTTGGGGTCTCCAAAGCATGCCTGAAAGATTCCGAGGATCTATAGGTCTTTGAATATTTGGGGCTGCGCGCTGCAGGTCTCGGACTGTCCAGTTTTGGTATTCTCCCTCCCCAGAAGCTGGCCCGACGTTTGTGGGAAACGCTTTGCCCATCGTGGCGTGGGGGCAGTCTTTCTGGAGAGGTTGGGCCCCTAAGGCTCAGATGGAATCTGTGTTTGTGTTTTTCCCCGGCCTTGGGGATGGGTTGTCTTGGGCTGATGTCGGGGGTCCCACCGGTGCCGCGATGATGACTCTGGATGCCGTCCTCAGATTTTTTGCAGGGGGACCCTTCCCACAGGCCTCTGTCTGGCTTTGAACGTCGTGCGTAAGCATACGCTGACTCAAATGTTGAAGCTTGACACGAAGGATGCCTTGCTTGAAAGAAGGTGATTGGAGTATGAAGGTTTAAGCTTTTCGGCGCCTCAGCTCGATGCAGCTGCAGATGTATGTGCTAAGCTGCGCAAGGCAGACAATCATCTCCAGGCTAGTCTTCTGGCTACCCATGTGCCCGGGGGCTTAGTCACCCAGGCTGAGCTTTTCCAGGACAGGGGTGTCACGGTCCCTCGCCGCTTGGCTTGCTTGGGGGCCAGTGGCACCAGGCACCATCGATATTTGGTGGTGATGCCCACGCAGGTTTCAAACAGAATCTTGGATTTCCTCGCTTCCTTTCGGGAGTGGCAGCGTGGTGCCCTCAGGACCCTTTGCTTTCTCGTTGCCTGGACGGCCCTTTGTCAAGCGTGCTCCGCGGCTGCGCGGTGTCAGTCGTTGGCGCTGGGTGATCTGTCCTCGCCGAGACTGGACGCAGGGGGGCATCTGCTCGGACGGCTCGGCGCTCCACCCTGAGCTGCTTTTGTTCACCGGCGTTGCGTGGGCGTTCGTGGTTGGCTAGGTCCTGGCCAGCGCTCGCGGGCCTCTTGAGCACGGCCCTCGCTCTTTTTTATGATGCCGAGGTGATTGCAATCCTCATGGCCTTGCGGCTCGCGGGCCCAGACCCTGTTACGTGTGCGACGGGTTGTGAGGCTGTGGTGGAGCATCTGGGCCCAGGGGACGGAGGCCGATTTGACTTCTGTGCCTGCTGCCGAGTACTGGGGGGAGATCTGTTGTCGCCGTCGGGATCGGGGGCCTGGGAACTTCTTCCTGGTCAAGTTCCCAGATCACAAGAGTTGGCGTGCTGCGTTGAATCTGCGGGTTCCATTCCACGCCTGGAGAGGCAAGAGGGTGATTGCCAGGACGGCCAAAGATGCTGTGGGAGAGTTTCCGCACTCTGGTTTCCTGTATGATCGGTTCCCGCAGCAGCACAATAATATCCGGAGGATCAGCAAATTTTCGGCAGCTCTGCTCGAGCGTGTGTGCTCCCCCCTTTCGGGATGTGGCCAAGGCGGCTGCCAAGAGTGGTCGAGGGACAGCGAGCGGTCCGGTCCCATCTTGGTACCCGAGCCCAGAGAGCACAGGAGTGCTCG